CTCTCTCTCTCTCTCTCTCTCTCTCTCTCTCTCTCTCTCTCTCTCTCTCTCTCTCTCTCTCTCTGTGTGTGTGTGTGTGTGTGTGTATGTGTGTGCGTGTGTAGGACTGGGGAGAAGCAGCAAGTCAAATTGGATTGGGTTGTGTTTCCTTACGATAAACCAATTGTTGAAGCTCACAAAGCAAGAAAATAGGCAGGGGTTTAAGGGAAGGAGGATGGGTACATCACAAAAAGTCGGAGTGGAACCCAAGCGGAAAACAGCAGGTCAAAAGCTCATAGAGAGCATGGCGGAAGAAGCGGGGCAGGGGGGACGAGAAGAGGAGGAAGAGGGTGGAGGAAGATAACTTCACGGATAAATTGTGGGAGCGACATAAAAAAAAAAAAAAAATCCAGGGCAGAAGACGAGGGAGGAAGGGAGGTTGGAACATAAGGGAGGAGTAGCAGGGGGGTAGGAGGATGAGGAAAAACAATCTCTTGCCCCTGATCATCTGTGAGATTGCACCTTATGTCAGCCAATGGGAAACAACTGCCCTGCACAAGTCGATCATGACAACAAGGTACTAAACCAATAGTATTTTCGAGGCTTTTTTTTTTCCGAGGCCCAAAACTCCCTGTACGTAAAAAAAAAAAAAAAGGCAAGCACGAGCCACTTTTTGGTTGGCTTGTCCGATAGCCTTCTATTCTCGTCAACGCTCGTCCGCTGAGATACTACACTGCTGATGAACGTGAGGTTATCGCAGTAATTTATGCCGCTCGACACTGACGTCACTACCTGCACGGGGCACCGTTCACGGTGCGCACGGACAACTCTGTTGTCCAGGCTTTCCTGACAAAACCGAAGCTCACTCCTCGACAGGCACGCTGGTGGCGCAACCTATCCGAGTTTAGTTTCACCACTGAGCACATCAAGGGTGAGACTAATTGTGTCACAGATGCCTTATCCCAGCGCCTTGACCACAATCTGGAGCAGATCCAGCTTGCCATCTCGGTCACCACAGTCCACCACTCGGTGATCGACGAGTTCCGCACCCAGTATCGCCACTGCCCCGACTATCGCGACATCCATGCGACCCTTCGAAGTGGCAAGGCCGTCCCGAACTACTCTCTCAGGGACAACGATCTTGTGTACTGGCACGGTTCACAGGGCACCAGAGAGGCCCATATTTGCGTTCCCTCCACTGGACAACTATGTGTTCGGGCAGTAGCAGAGTTCCATGACCAGGCAGCCGCCGGTCATATGGGCTTCCACAAGACGTTGATTCGTGTTAGCCACCTGTACGTCTGGCCGAAGCACAAGGATTTTATGAAGGATTACGTCGCAGAGTGTCCTACCTATCAGGAGGTGAATAGTGCGTACCACCTGCCTTATGGTTTGCTTCAGCCTCTTCCTATCCTTTAGGGTCGTTGTCAGTCCATCTCGATAGACTTTATCGGTCCTCTGCGTCCTTCAACCTCCCACGCTCATGATGCTATCATGGTCGTCGTCGACGGCTTCATGATCCGTGCACGCTTTGTTCCGTGCCGCTGTGCCATCAGTGCACGTGAGGTCGCCGACATAGTGTTTGGCCGAATCGTGTGTGACCACGGCTTACCTCTGAGCATCATATATGACCGTGACCCGCGCTTTACCAGTCGCTTCTGGCGACGCCTCCACGAGGTGTACGACACCCAGCTCCGTATCTCCTCGTTTTACCATCCCCAGACTGATGGTCAGACCGAGGTCACGAACATGACTCTCGAAGATATTCTCCGGAAGATTGTTCGTGGCGACCAGCTGTGGGATCTTCATCTTGCCCACGTGGAGATAGCCTACAACCATGCCGTCTCACCAGCCACGGGGATGTCGCCTTACTATTGCGACCTCGGCTATCACCCTCGTGTTTCCGCGGACTTCCTTCGACCGTCACTGATGCACCCCGACACGAGTTGTCTCGCGCTGGATGATTGGGTTGCACACATGACGTCGATCATGAAGACCGCGCATGAGCACATAGCCACTTCCCAGATTCGCATAACCGCACGTACGAAGTGGTCATGGATGGATCACCCATTCAAAGTCGGTGATGATGTGCTTATCGACGTCCCTCACTTACAACTCGAAGTGGACACGCTTCGCAAGTTTCGGCGTCGCTTCTTTGGCCCATGCCGCATTCTCCAGGCCCTCGGTTCTGATACGGCATCTAGCCTGGTCAGCTTCCGTGTGAATCTGACCGACTACCTAAGCCAAGCTCGTGTGCACGATGTCTACCATGTCTCGTTAATGCGTCCTTACCACAGACCGTCTGAGCGTTTCGTTGGACGACCGTACGAGCGCCCTCCACCCATCATGGTAGACGGCCACGAGGAGTTCCTCGTTTCAGACATCATTGATCGCCGTGTCACTGACGACAACCCTCCCCATGTCGAGTATTCGTACGTTGGAAAGGTTACCCTAATGAGGAGGCTACTTGGGAGCCCCTCGAACACTTGCAGCACGCTCGCATGTTGGTGAGTGCCTACGACCGTGCTCGTCGTGCTAGGTTGACTGCTCCTCCTCAGCCCACTGACCCTCCTCCTCCTCCCTCAACTGGAGAGACAGCTAAAGTCGAGCCTACTCCATCTGAGGCAGACCTTCAGCAGCAGTCGGATGTTTCTGAACGTCCACAACGCACTCGTCGTCGTCCTGCTTGTCACGACGATTGACTCTGACTTAGCTTCCCACGTCTTTGACTTCTCAGTACTCCATCCACTCCAGTTTTTCCACTTCAGCTCGTCGACGTTGCGGCTCTTCCTCGACGGCATTCCGGACCTCTCGTCATGGACGTCATCGGCAACTTCACGGTCTTCGTCACGATCAACTCTGCCTACTTCAGATGTCGTCACTCTCTTACCGCCTTACCCTGTACAGTACCCTAGTTAGGCAACCTTGCATGCTTCATCTAGGTGCGCCCAGTATACCAGGCTCCCTTATTCCCCTACATGGTGGACCCTCGGTCACCCCTTTAGTCGAGCATTACCCGCCCTGATGGTCTATCTGTTAAGGTCATTGGTTCTGTTCACTCCCAGTTCTCTACCCTCCTGGAGTTTGAAGACATGTATGCCCCTGTCATTATGTGTGGATGCCATAAGGAGTTTATCGACCCCTAGGCTGCATTCGCCACCCTCAGAGACCATCCCACCCTGTGGTTTGCGACACACTTCTCTTGTGACATATGGTTGTCTTGTTGTTGCTTTGTTGCTCTTAGACTGAAAGTACTGCCTCTAACATTTTTAGGATTTAGTTGTTTTTGCTTTCGCTGTTCTTAGGACTTATACACTAGTCAGTTGTTTCCAGACTGAGGCTACTGCCTCTAACATTCTATGATTTAGTTATCATTACTTTCCGCTTTCCTAAGACATGTATACTAGTTAGTTGCTTCTGCTTTCACTTAGGCTGTTAGTTGTGACATTGCTGTATTTTTTATGACATTTTCTATTCTAGGTTGGATCGCATGGACTCGGCATGGAGCTTGTTCCGCATCCTAGACTACTCAGGTTTTCTATTTCTTTGGTAGAGTTCTGCTTCTTGGCGGAAGCGTGCTTGTATCTATTCAATCCATCACAGACCGAGGATTGTGTAGCGGACCTCTGGTTGGCCTGTAAGACCAACCCCTTGGCCTGTTCTCACAGGCCTGTGTTGTATTCGGGGTAGTCTAGTCCAGGCTTCGGAATAGTCCAGTCCAGGCCGGTCCCCCCCAGTCCAGTCAGTCCGCTGGGGTATACCCCAATTGTTGTCTATCTTAGAGGTCATTCTGCATTCGCACAGTTTGAGGTACGTGCGTTGGACTCTCGCATGGGAGTTGCACTGTGCCATCTTACTCCACTCTCATCCTCCATCTTCATCTCTATCCCAGACGGAGCACCACACCTGGTGCGTCCGCCACATATTGCCTTCGTTGGTTCCGTCATCCGGATTGAGGTCGTATCTGGTGCATTGTCGGGACACTATGGCTATCGTGTTGGTTCGTCACCTGCCAACGCCGAACGACGCAAATCTCTGAATCGGACGCGGTTGACCTCAATTGAAGGTTGTGCGTCCGTCGTTCTTCCTCCAACGAGTTTACCAAATGAAGCCAGAGGCTCGGTACTCATGGTCCCGCAGACACTCTGAACACGGGGGTTGTGGCCAGTAAGGAGCGATTGCGAATCAGTGGACGATGGTTAGGGAGGATAGGGTATGATGCGGTGATAGGGAGGGGATTTGGTCCCTAGGATGAGGATCATGGGCTCCGTGAGGACGTGACACGTATATGGGCTAGAGTAGCTGGGGAGATGGGGTTGTGTCCCAAAGCTTGGTTAAGTAGAGAAATTTCGGAGGTTCCGCCCAGGTTCGTGCAGACAAACAAGAGTGCTCCCAATATTCCCGGAATTCTCGATCCCTCAAACACTCGCGGTCAGTGACACGAAAGGGAGCGCCGAAATTCATGCTGCAAGTCGCGGTGGAAAACCAGTCATTCAGGGAATTAGTCGAGTTCAAGTTTCGTAGACGCGCGTGTAGGCAGCAATCTTCCTGGTCGGGCCTACTCGTGCGTGCACAAAACCTGTCCTCCGATCAGATGGGTGAAAGTTAGCGATTCGCAAGATGAATCATCCTTTAATGAGATGGTAATCTAATCGTCTAGCATGCTTATCTAATTCATACACAGACAGAATCATGCTTATCATCCATACATATAGCTTTCGTACAAACAGAAAGGAATCGAGGATCACGAAACAGTTCTTGCAACAATTTTTTGGCCGATCAGTCCCGAGATCACACAGGGTTTGATCGTCGATAACCACTCAATCAGATTTGTCGATTCCAAAAAGACTGAGAAGGGGAGTGGGAAAAGACATTCCACACATCATTCATCGAGGAAAGAAAACAAGAAAGAAAAAAAAGAATCCGAGATGCCAATCTAAAAAAAGGACAAGGGCGACTGACGCCGATACAAAAGTTGCTCAGAAGGATAGAAAAATAATCAAAATTATTTAGAAGAATAAAAGAAGCCCACCACACGTCTCTCTGTCTCTCTCTCTCTCTCTCTCTCTCTAACCTCCCGATGCGGGCAGTCCGTCGCCTCGCACCCACACAGAGTTGTCACCCCGCTTAGCCCAAGCATGTTAGCCAAGTTTGCTTGTGTGCCACAGTCCGCCACGGCCCCACGTCAACCCCGCATACTCAGCACCAAATCGTCGGACTAACTCACCTTCCAATGCTTGCCCGTTAGCCGATCCTCTCGACCGCACTAACTTCAAAATTCATAGAGATCGAGTTAATTGCGCTTTCGACATTTATAGCATGCATGCTTGCGCGAGATACGGGGGGTTGTGCCTGAGTGGAAAAAAGGAGGAGGAGGATGGTCGGGCCGCAGTGTGGGGGACGTAGCCTTATTCCACACATCGATACAGTCATGCAAGTGTTCAAACCAATAGGACAGAGGAAGAAGAACGCGCACACAGGGACGCCACAAAAAATATCAAGAACAGAATGATTACAGCTGCAATTATGCCCGCCAAAATAACAGTTACAGTTACACGCAAGGATTAAGGTGCGAGAAAGTTAGAACACAGATCCTGAAGCGGCAAAGCGTGTGCAAGCAAGAAGCGTCGTGCAACAAAAATTGAGATGCGCCTAAATTCCTAATCTAAATCCTAATTGCAAAAACAAATTTCGAAGGAAGCAAATTTCGAGAGCCAACGGGGGTTCGACATCAGTTGAAAATTCAAAAAGATTTTCCCGTGTGACGATCGCACCAAAATTACCATTTTCCACAGTAAAACAAGAAAGAAGCTATGTCAACAGCTATCCTTCGCGTTCGCTAAGGCGTGATCAGCTACCAACTGTCACAAGACTACCCCGGCCTCAAGTCCAAAAGAAAACAAGGAAAGCAAGGGCACCGATGCAATTCGCCAGGCCATCTCGATTCAACCCCCGAAGTAGTCTTGCACAAAAAATAACGAGGTTGCAGAAAACAGTTCGTCACAGTGTAATGTTTCTTCACCCTACCAAACATTCTCTAAGGTGAAGAGGTTTTGGTAGTACTGTGTGACATAGTGTACTATCTCCTACAAGTTGGTGTCATCCCTTTGCTGATGATCGAATGGACGATGTAGAAATGCAACCAAACTCTATTTTGCTCTGTTTTTTGTTTTGCTAAAGAAGGTGGAGGACATAGTGTCGTTGGTGTCTGATTTTTTTATCTTGGCTTGGGTCCTCCATGCCTCCGCCTGTTGGTCTAAGTACTATTGGAGATGGTCCTTCACAATTTTTCAATGGTTGCTTTTCTGTTGTGGACATGTGCAATTGATAATTTTTTATTTTTTTCTCTCAAGGTGGCAATGCCTTCATTGAATCGATCTACCAACGACGAGCAATTCTCCTTTTGTGACCTCCAACACTCCCAATATTTTCTACAAGTAGCGAAGTGTTAAACTTGTAGAAGTGGGTCCCCTGGTGATATATTGGTGGAAGGACGTACCAAGGGCTATCCCCCTGGTGATGTACTGGTAGAAGGACAGACCAAGGGCTATACAGGGGACCCTTTTCTTAACTGGTAACCTCCCTTCAACAGTTTTGATCGATTTCATATCTAATCCAATTCCGTCTTTTGGGAGAAATACCCCCTGCTATACCCAGCCCCGGTGTCCAACTTGCATCAATACCTGAAAATTTGTCTATGCAAATTGTTTGTATACCCAGGACGGAGGAGGAAAAAGATTGGTACCACCAAATTGCAGTTATACCCAACTACAATACCCGGGCAAGCAGCGGAAAAGATATGTCAAAGTAGAAACCATCATAGCAGGGGAGGCAAGTCCCAACACTCAATCTCGGTCCAGCCACTCCCATGTCCAAAACCAGATCACCACCCGAACTTCTTATTTCGCCACTGCAATCCACCATCACACACAAAAAAAACAAACGAACTTTTCAAGTTTTCACAAATACATCCACCCTAAACAAAATTTCCATAAAGACGATTACCCTTTCAATCACCCAACCCGACTGCCCCACGCTGCCTTCACACGGCAGGGGTCTGCGCCCACATGCCCCAAGATTCAGATGCAGACCCCACTAAATCCACCCACCTCCTTACGATCCAGTCCAGGGTGGATCAACCCTCCATACCTCACTCGCTATTTTCGAAGACTCCACCTCCCTCCACAAATTATACCTAGGGCGATGGCCTTGAGACATGATCATGAAACTCACCGGCCCTAGGTAATTCATTCATCGGCTTCCAGTAGAGTTTGAACTCAGGTTTGCATTTCAACAGTTCAACGTTGTACCGTTTGAGCTAAGCCAGTTGGTGCAATGATTGCATAGGGGTCATGTTATTTTTTTATTCTTTTTCACAGGGGTCATGTTATTTTTTCATCTTCCAGGGTGTTGTAGAGGCCAGTTACTAGGCACACATTGATTGCTGGAAGCGGTCAGCCGTGGTCGCCTCGAGGAGACGAGGCCACCTCCCATCCCATCAACAGGAAAATTTCCACGATAAATAAAAGTTGAAAACACATTCTATAAAAAAAAAAAATCCTTCATATTTATAAATTATCATTTCAATATTCGTCCAATTCTAAAATTTACAGTTTTATTTGATAAGTTCCCGTTTAAATATGAGTTTTCCCTTCCAACTACATCTATTTGTTCAGGATGGACTGAAAGTCTGGATTAGTTTATGAAATATTTTAATTAAAATTTCATTCTACTCCAACAAATATCTTCTAATTTAGATTGGATTAACCTATTTATGACTGGGAATCCTTACTTAGAATGACAGTCCAATTAAAATATTTCATGAACTCATTCAGACTTTCATTCCATCTCTAACATGCAATCCAAATAAGAAGGGATACCCTATTCTTGGAACGAAAGTTTGCAAGTAAGATGAAAATTTTTAAAATTTGAATGACACTTTTAAAGATGGAATGAAAATTTGAAATTTAGATTGTAATTTTACTATAGAATGATTATTTAATTCTGGGAATTTTTTCCGTTGATCTTCGCGTCAATACTCCTAGCGCATCCTCTATTCCTACTATCCTACCTCAGTGTGACCAGCACTTAGGACCATCACCCTACCAACATCGAGGGGAACTTGGACCTAACGGTAGTGACAGGCACCAGGGCTAGCGAACCAGCCCTGGTGGAAGCGTAGTCGAACGAGCCTCATCATACGACACATCGAATGTCAGGCTCAAACAATCACCTATTAGCCCCTAAGTTCACCAACCAGTAACTCACGCCCTCTACTCTCCCACCACAGACCTAGCTGTATGTTTAAAACGAGGTACTTATCTTCGAGACACCTATCATCACCACCAGTTGGAACCCACCAGACCAACCAGTGACTCACGTCCTCTACTCTCCCACCACATACCCTAGCTGTATTTTTAAGGCGGGGTACTTATCATAGAGATGCCTATCGTCATTATCAGTTGATCATGACCTTCCCTCAACCCTATAGTTGTGTGTGTGTTCAGTATGGTAGGTATGTGCCCGCAGGCTCTGCATATGTTCGTGGTAGTGTGTGTGGACCCGATTTTGTAGCAGACGCTATGACGCCCAACCTCACGCCCGACGCGACTTCCTGATCGAAGTGGGATGTGGGCCTGGAAGTGTGAAAAGGGGTGTGCCAAGGATTTTTGGGAAATTGGGGGTGGAGTCCCAGGTCAGTTCTAAGATCTCCTGTGACAAGGTTCAGGGGCATAGGTGCAATGAGGCCAAGGGACGGGTTACTTTCGGTTTGATAGCGGTCGATGTCGTGCAGCATAAGGCAGATGGCGTGCACGGTGCATCTTGGGCCGTCCGATCCACCTATTTCCTAGTGCGACGGGTCGGGAGAGGTCCGTTCGTGAGGGTTGCGGTTTCTATGGGTCGGACCTCCGGGTGTGGACACGTGGCGATTGGCGGCGCGTGTTATGGTTAGGCCCCGTAATTCTAGAGGCTCGGTGGTTGCCGCGCCATCTGCAATTTCTGCACAGCGTGTGGGGCCAATACGGGGCTATGGAATTCCACGGTACCACCGTGAGTTGGTGGTATGGGAGGAGGAGATGGAAGGGAGGGAAATTGGTAGCGATAACGATGAAGCCGGGGGATATGAAGTATTGTGTGTTATAAGTATTTGGGTAATCGGGGCCCCTCGGGTCGCTGGTTATGGCGCGATGAAAGTCGGTCGTTCTCGGTTAGACAAGGGAATTTCGAATTTCTCAAATTCCCACGCCTGAGTTGTTCTCCTTCCCAGTATTCTCGGTACTCTGGGTCCCGCAATCTCTCCCGGTCCGCGATGTACGACATCTTGTCAATACGGCGGATCGCTAGTTTGCAGCGTAGTGGGAACCCTCCGCACATTTCTGATCGTGCTTCGATTGATAAGGGAATTTTCGAGTATGGTTGCGGAAATTCCTATTGGCTCAAATTCTCGCAAAAGGGAAAATTTCGCACTTATCCCGATACTGGAGGTGCCAAGTTTATCATCGTTCGTAAATCGACCGCGTGTGGACACGTGTAGGCCGCGTTGATCAGATCGTGCTTACACATGCGCACACGAGGTGTTCGGTCGTACGCAGGCCTATTGGCTGGTTTTCGTGCAAAAGTGAGGTTTCGGTCCTACATGCAAAATCGCCACGTGGCATAGATAATCACCCAATCATCTAATCCTTCAGCGATCCCGCAACCAACAAGCATTCCTTGATTATGCAGGTGACATCGCACCATTGTGTATGTATACATCAACACCGCAACAACATCAAACTTAGGACGACAACATACCAAAATAACAGGCAAGAATGATGATCATACGACAAGCAGAAATGACGAGCATGTCACACAAAACCCATCCATCCCATATACACAAAAGAGGAAGGGTCGAGACTAATTAAGGAGTCAGACAAGGGCCGAAGCTGAGACAAAAGATGTCGAAAGCAAAATGGTGGCGAATCGCCCGAAATCAAAACTTATATACAAAGACAAAGAGGTTGCGGGTTTAAATCCGCAACCTCGTGCATATGTCGCCGGCACGGCGTTAGGTTGACGCACTACCACTCACACACTGAGCGCGCACGCTCCCAGGGGCACGGATGTACACTGGGGTACAACCGCTCAACACTGGACTTGGGGAGCCACCTGCAAGGGTGCCCGCTAGATGCTGATAACCCAACCGTACTTCCTGGGTGCCCGCAACGGTTGAGCGCATGCCTCCCCTTGGGGTTGCCGAGGCCATGGGGGGGGAGTGGCTCCGGGAGGGGCAGGCTCAGTTGGCGCGTGCGGGAGGAGTGAGGGGGTCACCCCTCGCCTAGCAGGGACTGGCGCGTCCCTGTAACACCACGGTGACTGTGGTGCTTACGCCTCCCGGTCGTGGAGCCGCAGGGAGGTGAAGCCCTGAGTGGGTGTTGGGTGACCCCCGGCACATCCACCTAGTAGCGCCGGTCTGGGCGGAAACTCCCAGGTGGGTAGCGAGGATTGTGAGCCCCCTCCTTGACAGATCACTGGGTAAGTGGGTGGGCCCGCTGCACCGTCAGTAGGGCTGACCCCGACGCGGAAAGCCCTCTGGCGGACATCCTCCCTGGGTCATAACCCCCGACACCTCTACAACCCTTTTTTAAAGAAACAAAGAAGAAGACAAATAAAATTACAAATCTATGTCCATCCATCTCAGCTCTCTCTCTTTTTTTTTTTTTTTTTCTCTCTCT